GTTTGCGTAACAGGGCAGGAAGCAGGGTTTGAGTTGTCCCTTCCAGACCCTGCCACGCTCACGTTGCGTCCGTAACTCGGTGGTGGGATTCACCCATCTTCTGGGGTCGCGCAGCGGGCTGGCCCTCAATCGGAGCGGGCGGGCTGCGTCGGCCCAAACGAGCAAAGCGGCAGCAAGCCATTTCGTTGACCGAGTGAGGTTGGAGATGTCTCTTCCACCACGTCTTCTGTCGCTCCACCTTGCCATAGGTTCTGGCCACTTCCCACATCTCTTTGCTTCTTTCCCAGCCGGGCATCGTTTGGGAAGGAAAAGCAAAACAAAAAAGACAGATGTTTTGCAGGATCCTTGCTTAGCTTAGGGTGTTTTTAGAACCCTGTCATTCTTTGACTTGCATCTCATGGAGTTATTTGAACCCGACTCTGATCCACAGGGCTGCCACAAGAGGTCAGCAGCATTGGGCAGCTGGTGAGGTCCCCTGACATCAAGGGGGGCCATCCGCCAACTTTACTGACCCTCCTCCTTAGTAAAATGATCCGTGCACAATTCAGCGTCAACCGTGGGGACAGGCAGAACCTCTTGCTGGTGGATGGTGGCAACTCATAGCTGACCTTGACTGATCTCTAAAGCACCTCGTTAGCTCTTGGATGGGAGACCACTAGGAGACCTCAGGGGCGTAGGCTAGACTGGGAAGTTGATGAAACATCTTAGAAGATGGCAGGGACAAACCACCTTCCTTCTGGTGCCAAGAAAACAACAGGGACTTGTCCATGAAGTCCACCAGAAATTGATTCTGTGCCATCAAGTCAATGCTGACTCTTAGCGAGCACATAAACAGATTTTATCCATGACGGTCTGCCCCTAACCTGGTCTTTCAAGTCTTCTTCCAATGGTGCCCTGATTGCCACTGTAACTGAGTCCTTACCCCTTGCTGCTGGTCCTCTCCTTCCCTTTCCTTCCACCTTTCCAAGCCTTCTCCAGAGAGTTGGGTCTTTCAATAATGCAGTGTCTCTCAACCTTGGTAGCTTGAAGATGGGTGGATTTCAACTCCCAGAATTCCCCAGCCAGCCAGGCTGGCTGGGGAATTCTGGGAGTTGA